TTTCGGGGCCACGCAGGGTCCCTTCATCAGGGCCATGATGTGACAAATAAGTGCACAATGAAACACCACATATATACCCCTCAAAGAGTATCAAAGGAGGTTAAAGCACCGTCCCATGACGTCATCACAGCATCAAAGCCCGCCAAGGAAGTGAAATACCATGAAGGATATGTAAACAATAAACATGATATAAACGTGTAAAAAGGAACATTATAATCCATAACGTACCAGATATACAGATGGATCATGGTGGTACCTGGGCCGCAGGATGAGAGGAAGCCGGCAAACGGACTGAAATACGAGGCGCTATGTCCGCGTCATCTTTCTCCATGGGAACCCTGGAGCATCGTGAGTGAGGATAGAGTCCCCGTCCAGGGATCACCATGTGAGCAAGGGGTTATGGCCACCATGTTCCCCGGACTTGTCCACATGCGATTTTTAGCTGTGGGTAAATTTAAAGCAGAAAGTGTATGCCAACAATCCACATACCCTGGATTAACTCAAGGAAAACATCATAAACACTATCAGCAGCATCACTGTTGAAGAGCTGCAAGCAGTATCAGCCAACATGCTCCGACCTGCACAAAGGTGCATAGACGTGAACGAGGACCACTTTCAGCATCTGTTGTAACTTGTGGGTAAGTGAATAAAAACAATCCACTTGCTCGTTCATCTTGTCATACTATCGCCGGAGGCGGACTACTTTTCCGTGGCCCACCCTGTATAACCCTGAGTTTGAATGCTAGAACATAATTTGCAAATTGCGGTCTTTTAAGTTGTAGAAATCCATCACTTGTTCCACAAATTGATCCACACTACCTATGATTACATAGGTTGGTGGTGACTTGCGAATTAGACCAGTGGGGGTATTATTAAAGGAGAACTATGAGGTGAGTGCTTTTCACTCACCTCATAGTTCTAGCCGACCTGTGACAATGAGACTGTCACAGGTCGGCTCAGTAGATCGGGAGGTGAGCGAACACATACCGGGTTCGCTCACCTCTCGATCCTTTCCCGGCTCTCTGCCGTGACAGGGGGAGGGGCTGGATTCCCCTCTCCCCGCTCCGATCTGCCAGCGCTGACTGGCAGAACGGACGGGGGAGGGTACAGCTGGCTCTGCCTCTAGATAGGCAGAGCCAGCTGTCACTCACGCAGCTGGGCGGATCCCGTCATCTAAGTCGGGATCCGCTCCGGCTGCGGCGTCTTGGTATACCGAGAACAGCAGCTCACGGTATACTGCGGCGTCTCAGTATACCGCGAGCTACAGCTCGCGGTATACTGAGCCTAGGGTGACGGGAGGACGCTAGTTTGTGTCCTCCCGTTACCCTAAGGAGAACTATGGGGAAAAGCCTTAACCCCATAGTTCTCCTTTAAGGCAAATGTCAATGCTTTAGGTAGAGTAACCCATTACGGCTAATCAGCAATATTTTTTTGTTGTACTGTCTGCTATCTGTGATATCTTGTATTACAGTCATGTGTTGCTGCAGTTTTCGCAATATCATTACTGTTTGCCAATCAACAAATTGCTGTTCATCAACTCCTTGTAAGCTTGAACAGCATCTGATATTGATCCCCAGGGGGTATTTTGTGTTGTGGAGGGATGAACCACACTGTGGACGTAAATAATTTGAGGGTTGATTTTAAACAGAATCCTTCAATTTGCTGTAATAGTGAAAAATAATAGAGAACCACCCACCAATGAGCTTTTTTTTTTCTCTCTCCCTGGGCTTCCAATTTGGCCTTTTGACTTTTTTTTTTAAACGGAATTGTACCATTAGTGTTTGGTAGGCTTTTATGTCCTTCGTTAGTTCAGTGCTGATAACACACACTTATAGAGCAGTAGGAGAACACAGAACAGCCAACACGTACAACACAGCCAAATCCCCCTTCTTCAGGGATCAGGCACTGTGAATGGTGTGACCTTTAGCATGGCATAATCACCAGAGATTATTCATAACAGTTTGCAAAAGACTTGGAATCTTATCAGTATGAAAACACATTTTCAACAGCATTATGTCTTCTTTGTAACAATTCAACTTTGTATTTAGCTGCTGGCCTTGAATTCAACCTTAGTTGTGCTACATTTAGCTGCAACGACTTCAAGCACATCTTCAACGACTTCAATATTCATCTTTCATATGTCTGTGGGGGAATTATTGACCTACTCTTACTTTCAGAATGTTGTAATAAGAAAAATTAGGAGATCTAATCAGTTTGCCTCTGCTCCTTTGCTGCTCATTTAGCAGTTTGAGGACTGGTTGGTGTCAGTAGAGTATGCCTTAAAGGAGAATTATGGGGAAAGTTAAATACACTGAAGCTGTCACACATTGGCTCTATTGATAGGGAACCGAGCGATCACATACCGCTGATTGCTCAGTTCCCGATCATCTCCCTACAAAGTGCAGTGACTGTTAGTCACTGCTCGCAACAGAGATTCCCCTCTCCGTTGCCCCAGTGCTGACTGGAGGAACAGACAAGGAGGTGGCCGGCACAGCTGGCTCTAGAGAGGCAGAGCCAACTGTCAATCAAGCAACTGGATGGATCCCGACAATATTGTCAGGAACTGTCCCAGCCACAGCGCGGCTCTGCGCTGTTGGGGTGTATCGGCAATAGCCCGCTATATGCCGAGTTTTGGCTCACAGAAGGATATTAGTATGTGTCCTCTTGTGACCCTAAAGAGATGTATGGCCAAAAAAGGTTGGGCCATAGTTCCCTTTTAATTGTAACTGAGAAAGTGGTGTCATCTGCCTAGCTGTGCTGTGCGACACGGCTGTGTAAGTCTCAGCACCTAATGAACAAAAATAAATTTCCTTTGACAGGTAAAACCACTCTCTTACAAGTATTTCACCATGCCTCCCAAAATTCTTGTGGCTCAATCGGGTTCATTCTGGAAAACCGGAGGCAAGCATTTGTCATTTTCGGTCAGTGTTTTCTACCTTACTGCCCTGAAATGGCGCATGGTTTTGCCAAGTTTCTTTCCGATTATGGGGTAAAGCACACTAATCTTAGCCGAGACAAGGGTATGCTGCAGTTCTTTAAATCAGTTTTCATAGGATCTCTAATATCATGCTGTTCCCTAGGGTAAAGTTTTCAGGCTGACAACATATGTGAACATACGCTCCTGTTACAAGTGTTATCCATTTGGATAGTACTGCTGTCACTGTGCATAATTTTTTTTCTGATCTCTTCAGAAGCTTCCTTTTGATCATGGAAAAATGTGTTTGATGGATTTTTATGCTAACAACTTGACTGATCTGTAGGTTTGGGGGGGAAAATGATATACTGGTGCAGGAATGATTATAATGAAGCCTGTTTGTGCCCAATCAGCTGTTTTTCACATTTTCTTTTTCTTCTTTCACCATTGTGTTATTATAAGGGCCCATTCACACCAGGCCGTTGCGGTATTGTGAGCATTCGATGTTGTGATCACTTGAACTGGCTTCCTTAACGTGCACACACCTTAAACACAACACAGCGGGCCTGATGCCTGTCCTCTTTGCGTCCCCCCAACTCATAAGCCGGGTATACACGCTTATATTTTCTTTGTTCAGCCCACAGGTCGCATGAAGAAAATATTAACAGATTCCTCCATCAACACTTACGTGTGTTGATGGACGAGTCCCCCGCTGTTTGCATTCTATCCTGACAGCAGCCCCGAATGGAGCTATCAGCTGATTTTGCTGCTAGCTCTATTTGTCCAAGAATTGTCCACCGGCTTCTTCGATCAGCTGATCGAGGGATGCCAGGCGTAATGGTGCCTCTGTGCTAATTTCGGCCGTGTCATCAGGAACCAGAAATTTCTCACCATGTATACCCTGCTTCATATTTACCCGTCCTCTCTCCACTTTTCAGCCTGCCTGGTGCCTCTTGTTTGACTTCTTCGCTGCTAGGACCTTCTCCTATGTGTGGTTGTCATAATCTCCATTCAGTCTTATTAGAAGCCCAACATGCACTGCAAACAGGGTAATCATGGAAACCATTTATAATCCTTTAAACATGAAAATAAGTTTAATGAAAAACAATTCTAGTTGCAGATGACTTTACACAGCTACAGGAATTTCAGACTGACTTATCTGGCATAAATCAAAGAGCAGTTCTATACATTTACCATTAACAACCCTGCTTATCGTGTGAGCTAGAACAACTAACTAACAAGACAAACAACTAGGACAGGCTTTTTGACCTTCCTGATCAAAGTTCTTCCTTTTAGAGCTACTGGCTGTCAGATATCTATCATAAGTGTGAGAATGATGCTTAAAGGAGAACTATGGGGTTAAGGCTTTTCCCTATAGTTCTCTTTAGGGTAACGGGAGGACACAAAAACTAGCGTCCTCCCGTCACGCTAGACTGAGTATACCGCGAGCTACAGCTCGTATACTGAGTATACGAGCGGTATACTGAGATGCCGCAGCTGAAGCGGAACACGACAATTGTGCCGGGATCCGCCCAGCTGCGTGACTGACAGCTGGCTCTATCGCAAAGGCCACTTGCACTGTTTAGTTTAATCTCTAGCCATTGTATCGCTGACATATAAATTGGAGTATGACTTTGCTCTGTTGCTGCTTTTTATAGCAGGCACAGTTGTTGCTGTGTGTGCTTTACTTCTGTTATGAAAAGGCTCTGTGAGAGTGTGCCTGCTTTCTGTGTGAGAGTGATGCCTGTACCCTGGAACCAATGGATCCTGTGTGCTGTGAACAGCCATCATTTTCAGCACTGTAAAGGGAATACTTCTTGTCACTGCTCAGAAAAGATTGATTGCCTTCCAAATCGCTGTGTATTTACCAAAAGGATTTCTTTGCAGCAGATGTTCTGTAAAGCAGTCGACACAAGCCCAATCGCTATTGAGCAAATTCCACCCAGTAGCTGTTAACATGTTTTGTTGCTTTACCAAGTGAAGGTTTTTTTTTTTGCTGTTATCAAATCGTCTTGCTTGGCAGACAAATACGCTTCTTCCTCCTTCGGCCTGGCTCTGGCACTGACATGCTATCTTCTTGTTACAGGATACGCAAGGCCTTGGGATGTTAGATTTCTAATTCATTGCCGGCTCTGAGACAGGCATTTGACATGGAGACGATCGTCTCAGAGGTGGAACCTGAGAAAACTTTGGTAAGTCACTTTAAAGTTTGAATTACCAGGGGTTGCTGATATTTAAACATATACAGGGGGTTGTGTAATCCACACAGAAGGGGGTATTTATCCAATACACAGCTAGATAAAAGTATCAATTTAGTTTTATATTGAATTTCAAATATTTAATAATAACACCATTACTAATATTCATACACCAAAGTAATTCTTACTTACTAGATTTGATGCATTAGATATTAGGTAGTGGAAACCTTTTTATTGCTTTTGAAATGTTTACAAAGTCACAAAGTTAGGTATTGCACAGTGTTGTATGGCTAACTTTCACATTCACACAGGGCGATCAGGTATACCGTTCAGATGCTGTCACTGTACCTGTTCGAGTAAATGACTGGGTGACAGCAACCGCATCTGTAAGCAGTAGTCCTCTTGTAATTGTTTATGATACGATTACTTGTTGTTTGGAGTAGATGACTGTCTGTGAATGTATCACACAGTCATTTACTTGACGGATACATTGGCCGCATCTGAACAGGGGCACCTGGCATTCCTGCCGAAGAAAATCCATGGGTTCCTGCTGCAGGAATGACTGATTACACTGTGTGAACGAGGACCGATTGCACTGTGTGAACGAGGACTAATAGCTTTCAAGGTTTGGAAGCTAGAGGTAGAGTGAGCAGTCATTTTACACAAGAGGCTGTAGTGGTGAATACCCTTGTCACCATTCTGACTATTCAGTGTGTGTCAGTCACAAGACTTGTCAGTAATGCAAAATATTTTTACAGGTAGAACAGACCACATAAATGCATATCAAGTATTTGTTACTAGAGTTCAATTGTAAATAAATATATTTTTCAAATTCCCTTTTTACAGGGCCATATTCTGAGACCAGGGAAGCTCAGAGTATGGCCTTGTACAAGTCTAGGAGGGCTCACAACAAGGTTTCTGCCAGAAAGGTTGAAAACATCAAGGCATGCTGCAGCTGTACTGCTGAGGAGTGGGGGTTTTAGTGTACATTCGTTCAGGGAGGCACATGATGATGGATTTCCATTAGTTTTATTAAAGAAACTAATAGATGGATTTTGTTTTATAGTTTTTAAACTGATATTTTTTTTAACGTTGTATATACAATCTTTGTATACATTTAGTAGGTGGCAAATGATTCCCAGAGCACTGGGACTTACCTAAAGCGATAACCCAGCAGTAGCAACTTGCTTCTTAGCTGACTTTTATTAAAATTCAAAGTGAGCAGTGTTACCAAAGCGGTAAGGGATGTGTTTAACAGGATGAGTCATAGAGTTTTGTGTGTAAATTACAGCCTGAGCTATGAAGCGCAATAAACTACAGACAGCTAGACAGTCTGATAGATATGTGAAAAGAAGACTAAGGTTATATTTGCAAAGTAGTCTGTGACGGTCACCAAACGTATTCACTGCAGGAGTGTCTTCATGGTGCATGTGCTTAGAATTACAGTGATTTCATGACCTGCAATTAAAGTTTGGTAAATATCACATTCACTGCTTTTATACATCTTCCCATAAAGCTCTAACTGCTGGTCAAAAATATTAGTATGCAATATTTCATTTTTACTGGAAGTAAACAATTTTATATCCTTTATCCCTAGCCAGAATAAGTAAAGAAAATATGTACAAATCTGACTAATAAATATCTTAACGTATGCCCATGTTTAGTTGGTTTTGGATGTTTTTGGACGCAAGCCATTTGTTTGGTCTGCAAGCAACCTACCTGTTCCCCAGTCATGACCTGCTAGCAGCACAATGCCTGAGGCGATTGATCTCGTCATTTAAAGTTTATCCAGCTCTAGGTTAGGTCTTTTGGAGTTCATGACTGCACAACTGGGTCAGTAAATTGGCAAGAGCAACTGACTGGCAGGCTACAGTGCTGGTGTCATTTGCTAGTGATCTGGACTATCAGATTATAAATATATAATGCTGGGATGTATTACGGATAGACTGCTTGTTATCAACTGATGCAAATGGGTATAAATAGCCTGGGACAGAACAGCCATCTTGTGTGTAAACAGTGTTCTGTACTTAGAAGGGCTTTGAAGACGTTTGAGGTGAGTTGCTAATGTTATCTGAAAACCTAGAAAAGTTCCTTAGCTTGCTAAAAAAAAAAAGTCAGTCAAATACTAATATATATATATATATATTCAAGAAAAACATGTTGAATATAAACGATAAATAGACATGTGTAGCTAAGGAAAGGGAGGTACACGGGTAAAGGATACAAAAATGACTAACATTTCACATCCCCAAAAGTCACAGGAAATGCCATATGATGTCTCGTTCAGATTTCTGGTCTGACCACATGTTTGTGTTTCTGAAAATGTCTGAAGTTTACCTAGAATGATTCATAGATGGCATTTCCTGTGACTTTTGGGGATGTGAAATGTTAGTCATTTTTGTATCCTTTACCCGTGTACCTCCCTTTCCTTAGCTACACATGTCTATTTATCGTTTATATTCAACATGTTTTTCTTGAAAAGGCAATTAACTCAAAATACAGTACATTTTATCTTGCATAAGGACCATTGGTGTGTGTGTGTGTCTAACCGAAATGGAGCTATTTGGCATTTCAAAACTATTTATTATATGCTTGTTTGAAAAGTAATGTTCCCTGCTTTCAACCATTTTTTAGACAAAATGAGGTGCTGGCTGACGTGGCAATGTGCCATTATTGTACAATGCCGTTACTACCTTGTGTTGGGAGAAATTCAACCAGTAGTAAATGATGCTGCACTTTAAATGTAACAGACTCTATAATTAACTGTATATTTACCAGAAACGAATTAGAGCAGTTTGTCTTGAAGGTTTCTGGATATGCCCATTTTATATTGAATAAAAAGAAGCTGCTTATACATTTGGAGTGCCACTTCATTTACTACTGGTTGAATTTCTCCCAGAGGAGAGCCAGGTTGGCACCTGCTAGGTGGAGTCAAATGGGCCAGCCTGGGGCAGCAATGTTTTTTGAATTTGAACCTTATGTTGGGGTTTAGAAATTGCTTATTTGAATAGGTCTGTGCTGCAATATTGTTTGTGATAAAGGTTTGCTGGTTCTCTAGACTCAGGCTAGACTCACTGATGTGGTGCATTAACGCATGCACATTAAAGTGAATTGTATTAAGGCATGCTCCCATATGAGTGTGCTACCTAACAAGCTAAAATGCAGCAAAAAGTGCATTGCATTTTTTTTAGTAATGCAGCACACCACATGGTAGTGTTACCCTGTGTTGCAGTGCACTGCAATGCAGATGCATTGGTAAGGTGCGTTGAGTAATTGCAAAGTGTAAAACTCATTTACCATACATGCTGTAACTTGAGTCACAAGAGTTTGCAGGAACAAAACTCATACGTTTTAGCTTTACACACATTTGTCTTGACCCCAAAATCTGAGGCTTTACAGATGCGGACATTTTTTGTGGCTAGAGCTGCCAGATGGGAATATTTTGAAGCCAGGGTTAAACTTCTCTGAGCTTCTGTACAACAGAAGTGTCCATGTGGACCAGGCGCCTAACTTTCCAAAGGTTTTTCCAGTATATGGACTCTTTTACTATGCCTGTTACTTCGTTTCTTCATTCTCCATTTAGAGAAAGGTGTGCACCATAGTGAGGGGCCCACAGACATGTTACAGTGTTTACTACATGTATGTACATTTGCTCTTGACTATGGGTAGGGGTTTAAGAAATTGGGGCATCTCCTCCTTTTAAAGCCTATTTGATTGTGTGTGGTTTTTTTTTTTTTGCGCCACAAGAAAGTTGTGGATTACCTCTTATAATTCTCACTGTCATGATGTTTTAAAAAAAAAAAAAAATTATAAAATTTTAAAATTTTGAATAAGAATTAACTTGACACGTGAGGTTGAGTGATAATTGGAATCCCACTAAGTTAAACCAGCATTTGATTCCCCGGGTCCTATGTGTTCCAACTAGATGACATTTTCATTCTGATATTGGGGGTCAGTTGAGTCCAGTAGTGTTATTTTCTCTGGTCTTTTCCCGTTGTCCCAGTTTCCAGTGCAAAAAGCCCTCTCCTTTCACCTACTGTTGCAAATAAAGGAAGAGGTGATTGCAGCCAGGCATGGAAGGTTTGAGTTTCTTCTTGCTGACACCTCCTTTTATATTGATGTTAGTGCATAGGACCCATTTCTTCTGTACAAAAAGAGCAATGAAAAGTATGTACCATTGTATTTAATGGTAGTTTCTGTCTGTGTTTCTGCAGGTTGTGGTTCAGTAAAATGCAACCTTTTTCCCTCTGGTTTTCAGAAAATACATACACAATATTTTTTATGGTCCAGCATGCATTAGGAGATAAAACGCATGCACTCTGTAAGCAAAACATACTACGTTAACAGCCGAAATTGGCTCCAATTGCAAAATTGCACTATTCAGTGCTTGCCTCCATTCATAGCCTGGTGTGCAAGGGAAATCAGAGTAGATATGCTTATCTTACTTGAAAGGTAAACTTCTTCCTGTATTGTACGCAATAATTTCTTTACAGGACACTCCTCCTTCATGCCAGATGACACAGTAAAAGCACACAGAGTGCAAAGATAAATCTAAACTTCCTATCAAACATATTACTCAATATCCAGAAAGGATATACATGCACTTTGTATGCAACAGAAACCTTTGCAAAGCCAGATATTAGTGTAGCACTCACCCCTAAAGGAGTCGCTGGATGAATTGGGGCCCTCTTAGCCTGTCTAAGGTACACAGTTCTATGGGTGCCTCAAAGCTTTTACCAACCCGGAAGAGGAGACCGATTACTTGACTTCCACACTGCTGATCTTTTACGTGCAGTACATTTATTTGAGAACTTTGGGAGGGGGAGGGTTAGGGCACACCCATGGACTGGCAAACTCCAAAGTAGGCAAAAGTTGTTAGTCTTCACAGATAAAGAACCTTGAAGCCTTCCCGGCAGTCAGTGAATTCAGTTCCTGACTGTAAAATACTGATGTTACAGCTACCGATTCCTTATGGAGAAATCACCATACTTCAG